ATGACATATACGTTTGGGACATGTCAATTATAAAACCTTGCAAAAAATGATTAATTTGGAAGTATTCCTAAGTTCGAATGCGAAAAATCAAAATGTCAAATATGTGTGGAATCTAACTATGTTAAACATCCTTATAAGTCAGTTGAAAGGAATTAAAATCCTTTAGACTTATTTCACACAGATATTTGCGACATGAAGTCAAATACCATCTCGCGGTGGAAAGAAGTATTTCATAACTTTTATTGACGACTACTTAATAGTAAAGATGAATCAATAGACGTATTCAAGCAATACAAAAATGAAGTTGAAACGCGACTTAACAAGAAAATCAAAATGATAAGAAGTGATGGGGTGGTGAATATGAATCTCCTTTTTGAAGAAATATGTTTAGAATATGGAATTATTTATCAAACAACGGCCCCTTACATGCCCCAATCCAATGGGATTGCGGAAAGAAAGAATCGTCCATTAAAGGAGACGATCAACGCATTGTTGATAAGTTCTGGTCTGTCACAGAACTTGAGCCATTCTTCCGGCTAACCGGATACTTAATCGAGTACCCCATAGCAAAACGCAATCCGTTCCATATGAAAAATGGAAAGGAAGGAAGCCCAACTTGAATTATTTTAAAGTGTGGGGGTGTTTGGAAAAAGTGCAAATTCTTAAACCCAAAAGGGTAAAAATAGGACCGAAAACTGTTGTGTTTTCATAGGATATGCGACCAAGAGTAAAGCATATCGATTTCTGGTTTATAAATCAAAAAATACCGACATTCATACTAATACGGTTATAGAATCAAATAATGTTGAGTTCTTTGAAAATATATATCCGTATAAAAAGGAATGTGAGTCGATTGGTGAAGGATCTAAACGACCTCGGGAAGAATCAAAAGGAAGTACATTTAATCAGGAGGATTCAAGACATAGTAAACTTCAAGAACGTCTACTTCATTTGGACCAGATTTTGTGACTTTCTTGTTGGAAAATGAGCCTCGAACATTTAAACAAGCTATGTATTCTTCCGAATCATTATTTTGGAAAGAGGTAGTCAATAGTGAAATAGAATCCATATTGAAAAATCATACATGGAAATTGGTTGATCTTCCTCCTAAAAATAAACCGTTGGGTTTTAAATGAATTTTTAAGAGGAAAATAAAAGATGATGGCACTATTGATAAATATAAGTCAAGACTTGTGGTCAAAGGGTATAGACAACGAGAAGGTCTTGACTATTTTGATACATACTCTCTAGTTACAAGAATTACGTCCATTCAAACTTTAGTAGCATTAGTTGCGATTTATGGTCTTGAAATTCATCAAATAGACATTAAGACGGCCTTCTTAAATGGAGATTTGGAGGAAGAAATCTACATGGAACAACCTGAAGGGTTTGTGGTTCCAGATAAAGAAAGAAGGTATGTAGACTTGTTAAGTCCCTTTACGGACTAAAACAAGTACCCAAACAATGGCATGCAAAATTTTGACCAAACAATGCTGTCAAATGGTTTTAAGATAAATGAATGTGATAAATGTATGTAAATTAAAAATGTTCCAAATCACATAGTCATTGTTTGCTTATATGTGGATGATATGCTGATAATGAGTAATGACCTTGCCAACATAAATGCGACTAAACGTATGCTAACTAGCAAGTTTGATATGAAGGACTTGGGAGTAACTGATTTAATTCTGGGTATTAAGATCCATAAGACTCCTCAAGGTCTTGCATTGTCACAATCTCATTATATTAAGACAGTACTTGGAAAATTCAAGCACTTAGATTTTAAAGTTACAAAGACTCCAATTGACGTGAATCTTGCACTAGCAAAGAACAAAGGCCAAAGCATATCACAATTGGATTATGCTCGTGTGTTGGGATGTTTAATGTATATCATGAATTGTACACGACCAGATATAGCTTGTGTTATAAGTAAATCGAGTCGATACACGAGTAATCCAGGTCAATCTCATTGGATGGCAATGAAACGAGTTTTAGGATATTTAGAACATACCCAAGACTTTGCTTTGCACTACAGTAAATATCCTACGGTGATTGAGGGATACTGTGATGCAAATTGGATCATCGGTTCAACTGATTCTAAGTCCACAAGTGGATATATATTCACTATTGGTGGAGGAGCGGTATCTTGGAAGTCGTCCAAACAAACTTGTATTGCCCGCTCTACATTGGAGGCTGAGTTCATAGCCTTAGATAAAGCCAGTGAAGAAGATGAATGGCTCCGGAGTTTCTTGGAAGATATTTCATTTTGGCCCAAATCGTTGGCACCAATATGCATACATTGCGATAGTTAAGCGGCAATTGGAAGGACTGGGAGCATTATCTATAACAGTAAATCTTGTCATATAGGACGAATACACAAAACCGTTAGGCAATTACTCTCTAGAGGAATTATCACGATTGACTACGTAAAGTCAAGTGATAGTTTGTCGGATCCACTTACAAAAGGCCTAACTAGAGAGGTAGTTGAGAAATCATTGAGGGAAATGGGACTATGGCCGAGGACAAGTCATTGTGGCGGTAACACTACCTAGAAGACTGGAGATCCCAAGATCTAGGTTCAAGGAGATTAAACAAAGTCATTAATGACGGTTCAACATTGTAAACTAAAATTTTGGTCCATTCTCGTGATGAGATAATGTTCAGTATCAATGATAAAGCATTAAGACTTTTTAATGACTTCTAAATTTTATACGAGGTATATCAAATAGTGTATCTACGGGATGACACGTTCAGGAATCATCTATGTAAGTATGAAGTGTTAGCCGCTTCAAGGAGAATTTTGTAAGGTCAGTTCTCTACGCATTTATGAAACCAGGCGCGGTGTTCATGGCTGAAAAAAATACAACAATGAGAACCAAAGATGGTTAAGGATTGATTGTGTGACTTATGGTTGTCTAGGTATACACCAAAGTTCGACGGTTCAAAGATATCAAATCTACCGATTGACCGAGTATATCTGACATAAGTTCACTACGGAAAGTTCAAATGGAAACCTACTTATCCAAATGCGATTAATCCTTGCTTGCGAATCGCAGAGTTTTTCATGCGTATTTCCGTGATATAGCCATTCCCCATTTATGTGGGGGATTATTGGGTTTTAAGCATATTTTAGCTTAAAAGAGGGTGAATGAGAAATGGAGGGAAAATAAAATATTTGAGTTTTCCTCCTTGACAAAGGGACATCGTCCCATATTGGAGGTGGAAAAGACTTCTGATGGGTATATATACAATTGCTCTTCTTCTAGCTCTTAAAGAGTTACGAAGAAGGCAAGCCTCGCGCCGTCGTCGTCGTCGCTCGCTCGGCTTCGGATTCGGATTTGGTCAAATGATCGATTGATCGATTAATTTTTTGGACCAAATTTATTTGTTAATAGTAAATATTAACGTAATATTATTAAATATCCGTTTTTGTAACGGAAAATTAATATTAAATCCAAATTATCCGTTTTTTGTAACGAAAAATTAAGTTTCCTCTGCGTTTGTATTCCCGTTTTAATTTTCGTAAATGACTATTTATGTTATGGCCGTTTTACGTGAATAGTCATAACTGACCTTTGAAGAGTTTCACATCTTCATTTGAACTCAACATGTTAGCTATAAATAACAGTCCATTCTCTCAAATTGTCCATACGAAATTCTGAATTCTCCTCCTTTCTTCTGCATTGTTTTTAACTACAATGAAAGTAACAGTAAGTTTGATTTGCTACCGATCATTGTGTTCGCTGAAACACTGGGGTTTGAAGTACCGCTACACTAGTGTGTAATTCGTTCTATCCTGGGAGGAAATAATCCACAACATCGGGTACTAGGAGAGGATTAAGTTCCTTAAGGCAACACTGTGAATTCAGTGGGCTCGGATTAAATTCTGTTTCTTCTACATTTCTGTTTATACATTATTTTTTCTTCTCCATAATTTTTTTACGAATACAATTTACTAACACACGTGTCATCGTCATATTAGCTAATTTTAAATATCTCCCAATTAATAAAAAAGACCCATACCTATACCCATTATCCATACCCGAATAGCAAGCTTCAAAAGCTTCTTCATCAATGGCTGCTACTACACTAAAACATAGATTCCCTTCAAAGAAGCAAATATCAACGGAAATTCCTCTTTGGTTGATGAAAAGCATAAGAAAGCATGAATGGAGAAAGATGTTTGTACAATAATATAATGGTCATTCCCTTCCTACTAGTTTATCTTCATCTATCCAACTTTATACTTTCCTTAGTAGAAATGTTAAAAAGAAGTCCAAATGTTCTCTTCTCATCTAATTTGGATTTCTCAAGATAGAGTGTAATCAAGAATCAAATCAATGATTTAGCTTTAATTTGCTGAAATAAAAAGAAGGAAACGTATAAAAATCTTATTTATTATAAGTTTGAAGTAAATAGTGCACTCAACAAATGTCATTAGAAGAAGTACAAAATAAGCAATAGCCAACACTACTTGACAGTCGTGGCCATTGATGAAGATGCCTTTGAAGCTTGCTTTTCGGGTATGTGTACTAGTCCTTTTAATTAATCAGGAGATATTTAAAATTGCCAACTGGACGACAACACGTGTTCCTCCGTTTAAATGCAGGAATATATTTGGACCCAAAGTATAACAACAGGGATATATTTGGATTCAAAGTATAACCAGTGATAACCTTTTTCCGAAAGTACATAGGTATATTTGGCCCTTTTCCACTTTTAAAATAATGAGTATTAACACGCCTAAGCTTGAACGATTATTGTGATTTTCCAACTAAGTATACTACCAAAATCAATGAGGAAATTCCATGGTACCTTCCTTCTTATAATGGTCAACTGAAAGAGGCTTAGTTGGTTCAAAAGCAACCACAAACTGACAAAAGAATTTCTATAAAAAAACGGCCAGCCTGCCCCACCATATTTCCAACAAAGAGGCAAATGACTCTTCCCAGTAAGAAATTATGAAACTTCTTTGACATTTCCATTGGGTGGAATTGAAGACCAAATCTCATAAACTGCACCCACTAAGCACCTTCCTCCTCTTGAAATTTCAACCTCCTTCGTTTAATTTCCTCTTTGTATATATATTTCCCTTGTACCTTCAGCCATTCTCATCAACACCAAAACAACAATCTCTCTTTTCCTCATATTTTCTATCTGCATGCAAGAATATCACCCCCTTTCACCATAACATCAAGAAGTTTCAATTAACATACAACAAAAATGGCAGCTCCTAGTTATTTGAATCGTTTTCCAATCAAGAAGTTCCCTGTAACTACAATTCCTATGCCTTTGCTAATTCATGGCTTAGTGGGTTTCTTCTTTCTGTATATAATCTTTGATTGCGCTAGAAGATTTTTCAGTTTTTTGTCTTTTGCTAAATCCAAAGTTAATGGTGAAAAGGAAAAAACCTACCAAAAGCTGACATCTTTTAGTGAGGAAGTAGTTGATGGAAGCCTATGCAGGGAAGAGGTAGAGTTGGTTATGGCTAATTTGGGAATTTTTGTCCATCCTGAAGGTGTAAAGATTCAGGAGAGGTTGGATTCTAGTGATATTTTTGAACTATTTGGAGAGGAATTAGAAGCTAAAGATCAAGATATTAAAGAAGCTTTTGATATATTTGATGAGAACAAAGATGGATTTATTGACGAATGGGATTTGCAGAGAGTTTTGTGCGCTTTGGGATTAAAGAAATCTGCAAACTTGGAAAATTGCAAGAAGATGATCATGGCTTTCGATGAAAATGGAGATGGGAGAATCGATTTCCAGGAATTTATCAAACTGATTTAAATAATTTAAATATCATCTCATTGTAGGAGAAAAAAGAAGCCAAAAATTAGATGAACATAAACATTTTGTAACATTCTTTAATTCATCCGATTCACCTTTGCTTAATTATGATGATTATCAGTTTTGCTCAAATTATCTGCCTCAGTTGTAATGTTTTGGATTATAATCGTGTCATCATGTCAGTGGTTAAAATATATGGTAGCACTGTCTTAGGGACTCTTGAGAAGACTATTGCGATGAAGGAGTATAGCTGCAGGCTGTAGAAATGGGGCAAAAACATGGAAGAAGCAACCTTAGTCTGGTATTTTAAATTTATGCTAGATTAGTTGATTTATTTTGCTTATCGAGAATCATCGATTAGGTTTCTATAAAATATTATTATCAGATAACAAGTTTTTATCCTACCTTAGACAAATTTATCTATAATATTCTAATCATAAAAAGTAAATATGCAACTTATATTGCCTTATTATGCGACTATTAAATTTTACATGTCCTATCTCTTTTTTACATTAATTTCCCAAGTTAGATTGGTTTTTACTTAGAGTTTAGATAGTTAACTCTTGAGCATTCTGGAGAGGTAATTTGTGGCAATTCTCAACAATAATAAAACATATAGAAAGTAATTGAGATCATAGGTTGTGCCTCAAACATAAACAAGTAGTATGTTAGTACTACTATTGCCTTGTAAATTTATGAGAAATTAAATTTTGAGAAACCACTATGTTTTAGTGATTATTAGCTTGATATAACTATTATTTACTAAATTAATTTCTATAGTTATGTATTCAGTTGTTATAGACTGTATTCGATGTATTTTTGCTACTGTATTCATGAATACAGTAGCAAAACTCGGCGGAAAACAGGGGAGTCCAGCTAAGCAGAGAATGTATTCGACTGTATTCGCGAGCAGCATTCGTGAATACAGTAACGGAATTTGCGGAACAAAAAAAGGTCTTCAGCTGTTTAAAACGGTAAGTGAATCAATTAACGCGATAGACTCCTAATATAACTCAACAAACTCAATTATAACACACAAAACTTATATTTCCAGTTATAGAAAAGATTCTCAACCGAAAAATACCCTAAAAATAGAGCAATCTTCAAAGATTCAATCCATTCTTTCCTTTTTAGTGGTATCTTTACTAAAATATTCAGTGGTATCTTTACAAATAGATTTATATATTGAAATTATATAATTACATTAAATACAGTTAAATTACATAAAAATACATTGAATACATGAAGTATAGCCGGTCATCTATAGTGCAAAAATATATGAATACATACTGCAGCTACATTTGAATACATATATACATCTGAATACATAAATTATATTAATTAAAAAAACATATGAATACATTTATGGAATACAGCGAGACAGTGAATACAATGAAATACATGGAATACAGTGAGATACATTGAAATACAATGAAAAAAAAGACAGTGAATACAATGAAATACATGGCATACAGAGATACGTTGAAATACAATGAAAAAAGGTAGCAGACTCTTCAAGTTCCTCAGCCCCAAACTTCGTCCCCAATGTTGATACCTAATTTTTCCCTCATATATTTTAAATATGCATATATATCTTCAAAATAGTGCATAAACATTATTATTAGATTTTCAAGCATGCACAAGTTTTTTTTTATAATTTTCTATAATTGTAAAGGTTTTAAATCAATTTATTTTCTGCATTTTTATTATCAAGTATCCAATAATTATCCTCATATTATTCTTATGATGATTTAATCATCTAAATTTATTATATAAGCCAATATAACGCTTAAATATTTTAATTGTATTTTTATAATTATATTTTATATTTTTAAGGTTAGAATTGCATATTTTGCAATAATAACCCATATATATGCATAATTATATTATTTATGCAGAAAATGACTTTTTATATTTTTATAATATTAAGTAATTATTTTAAATCATTTTCATGCACAAATGGTATTTTTATCAGTTATTAATTATTTTTGTAAATTATTTTAGTAATTTAAATGGGTATTTAAAAACTAGCCTAAATTCCTACCCAAATTCGGACCTAAAAGTACCCAATACACCAGCCCACTAACCAGCCGAATACCGGTCCAACCCAGTACCCAAACCCGTTCAACCAAGACCCATACCCATTTTAAAACACCCGAACCAAGCCCTTGTAAAATCCCAGCCGTTGATCTCAAAGATTAACGGCTCCCAATCACCCGTGCCCTTTTAATTAACCAACACCATAACCCTATTTCATTATCTCCCAAAGCCGCCGCCTCTGTATTCTCTCATCTCCTCCCCTTCTCTCTTCTGAAACCCTAGCGTTGTAATCCCGTTTTCCCCTTCGATTCCAACTCAAAGATGGAATCCATAGACGATTTTCTTACCTTATTGGTCGTCTCCTATTACTGGTTAACAGATTATGGTATTACATAATCACTTGCCTAACATGGCAAGTGGATCTCTCTTGCTTTGAACCAAATCTGGTTCGAACCTTTACTTCTTTCCATCTATGTTCATTCTTCGTCTCTCTATGGTGCGAATCTCTGAGATTCTTTTTGATTCTGTGTTTACCCTTAAAATTAGGGTACAAATCTTTTAAGACCTGTTTAATTTTTGTTCTTATTTTTGTTAAAATTTCAGCGCATGTCTGTTTTCTTTGCGATTTTTTCGTTAAAAGTTTTGTCTAATTTATTTTCCCTAAAACTAGGGCTCAGATCTTTAAGATCTGTTCTAGTTCCATTTATGGATGAATATCTTCTTTAACGGTCCGTATATCTGTCTATGTGCATGCTATTGTGATTCTACTCGCCCAGAATAATGGCCCATATCTTTTCAAACCTGTCAGGGTTCCTTAATTCTGAGTATTTTCTCTTTAATGTTTTCGTGTATCTATGTTATTCCTCCAGCTATTTTTGACTAATTTACTTACCTTAAAATTAGGGTTTCAGATCTTTCTCTAGTCCGATTCTTTATTGCTTTTTTGAATAAATCTCCTGTCTATGTTCATTGTACACGGTATGTGATTATTTTGCCCTTGTTTCTCTACCGATTTTGGGGTTTACCTAAAACTAGGGTTTGAGACTTTTACTCTTTCCTTTCTCGTATAGTACTGATACTTTCCTTATTTTGTTCACCCTACCTTGTTCCTTTATTTTCTTACCTTGTTTGCTGATTGATAATTGATTTTATATGATACTTACCTTATTCTGAGTAATACTTGCATGATTACTCGTTAATTGACTGAACTCTTACTATATGTCCCTAAACTAGACTTCAATTGATTCTGGGATTATTTTCTTCCCTTGTTTATGTGTGTTTGATTGCTTCCCTTATTTGTTCACTTAATTGAACACTATTTAAACCCTTTTCTCATTCCCCTTTAGAAAAAAAGAACAACTCTCGAACTTTCCTATTCTCACTACTAAAACTTAAGATCTCTCTCTTGCTCCTATTCTGATTTCTGCACTAAGTGGTTATTATTTGGCCGGCTGAAAGCCAAGGCCAAATTACTCTGGAACTTAACTGTTACTGCATCTTTACTTTCTTTCTTCTCAACTGGTATGCCCTAACCTTTGCAAATTCCTTCTCTATGCTTTGTTTGATTAACCTGTTTTAATTCCTAGCATGATTCTGTCCTCAATCTGGTAACTTGATAATACTGTCAACTTAAGACTAAGGCATTTAGAATAACAGGAATCCTCTCATAAGTTAGTTTAAGGTTTGATTTGTTTGTCAGCTTTATACCTATTCTAAACTATGAGCATATAATCAAATATGTTTGTGCTTAATTCATATGTCCTGTCTGCTTAATTCAAGTGTTTCTGTCTCTGTGTTTAAGCCATGATTGTTTTAATACTAGCATGCTAGCTTAATTAGATGTCACCATGTTTAAACTGTATGCTGAACCTAAACCTTGTTTGTTTCTTGGAGCAGTTCTGCCTACAACTCTGTACTCTGAACTTTCTCTCTTCTGAAAATTAAACTATTTCAAAACCTACCCCCTTACCCTTTGTGCACCGGTTTTCCAAACTCCTACTCTTAGTCGTTTAGGTTCTCACCACCCCCGGTGTGAGCACTGCCTAGGGTCCCTGAGACTCCTTTGAACTCTGACATATTGGGGCTGGTTTTCCAAGCTTTTATGAACTCTGTGCTGAAGGTGTGGTTCTAGTGTGAGCATTGCCCGGGGTCCCTGAGGCTCTTTGAGAACTTTGACACACTGGAAGCCTGGTTAAATGTGCTGTGAATGGATCACTGCTATGCTTCAGAGCTGTTGTGTTTGAAGGCCTGGTTCCCAGGTTTAGATTGGGCTTATGAAGGCTCCCTATAGTGTATCATTATTATTATGTAATTCATTCATTCTGGGCTGTATAATCTCTATAATAACAGATTTTGTCACGACCCGGATTTTCCACCATCGGGAGTCGTGATGGCGCCTACTCGTAGAAGCTAGGCAAGCTAAATTTTTAATTACTTTCCGTTTACAACATAATCCCTTGTAACAATTCATGGCAAAAATATAAAAACAATGAAATTAAATAGTAGCGGAAGTCTTAATTATAGAAACTGAATCAACATGCGGAATAGTCAATATAATCCTCCACCCAAGACTGGTGTCACAATACTCACGAACTGCTAAGAAATACTAAATACAAACGTCTGAAAGAAAACATAAGCTGTTTGTCTCGAATACAATGAGGCAACAGGCAAATAAAGAGAGAATAAGGGAGACGTCGGGCTTGCAGACGCCTGCAAGGCTACCTCGGGTCTCACCGGGCTGAAGGCCTGCTCCCGTACTAATGTTGTTGCTGCTGCTGCTCGAAACCTGGACCTGTGCAAATAGCACAGAGTGTAGCATCAGCACAACCGACCCCATGTGCTGGTAAGTGTCTTGCCTAACCCCGGCGAGGTAGTGACGAGGCTAGGACCAGACTCCAGATAAACCTGTGCAGATATATATATACAAGTACAACGGAAAAATAGCAAGAAAATAACAATTTAAGCTGGGGAAGGGAGCATGCTTCAGGGTAACAGATAGAATCAAAATATCAGGAATAATGGTACGTACATCTACAGTTTAACTTCTAACAATAATGAAAAGGTAAAACAACTTTCATATTCAACTCATCTTGTTGCAGGCATGCAACCCGATCCCATTTCTCATTATCTCGTGGTAGGCGTACCACCCGCTCCCATTTTAATATCACTCGTGGTAGGCATACCGCCCGCTCCCATTTCAGTATCACTTGTGGTAGGCGTACCACCCGATCTCATTTCAACATCACTTGTGGTAGGCGTACCACCTGATCCCATTTCAATATCACTTGTGGTAGGCGTACCACCCGATCCT